AGAAGTAGATGAAGTGTTTCGTCTCATGGGTCACGTAGCTTCCGAAGTTCCTTCCCACAATGCAGTGCCACGTCGGATTGTATTTCTTATCGAACTCCTGTAACATGAGACAAAATGTTGCTTGAGCTCAGCGGAAAAATGCGAGTGTGACAAAAATACACACTTGGAGTCGGCGATAACGATACGGGTCAAATCTCGGCAAACTCACCTTTTTGATGTATGCGGCAATGTCCTTCTCGATGTTGTACTTCTCCATGGCCTGCGTGGCACAGTCCACTGCATCCTGCTGCATGTCTTCAGACATGTCAGCGTTCTTGATCACAGCCTTCCTGTCGGTCATGTTGTCTGCAAAATGTAGAAAGCAACTCAGTAAGGCACCCCTGTTTTAACACCACAGTGAGCCCTTTCTTTAAATCGACAAAGCCAGGTACATTCCTGACCGAATGCCATCAACGGAGACCATCGGATTTGTTAAGGTAATTTAAACGACACTTGATACTTTCATGAGAACCAAGCAGGTCTTTTAGTCCATTTTCAGAGTCAATGAGGGCTGCATTTAAATACCATTAATGCAGGTTCAAAAGACAGTCAAATGGTGCTCAAATTACAGCTTCTGTTGAAGTCAACTCATCTCCTGTATATAAAAAGTAATTTAAATGTGAATGACACACACACTTCAAATCTAATGTGTGCTATCGTTTGTAGATAGTCAATAAAGTAAAATTGTGTTTGATATACATGTTAGGAAGAATCATAAACCTTCTTTAGCTAACAACACCAATACTGGAATGATTGCATATAATGCAGGGCATACTAAATTAGCTATGTTTCAATCCACCAATATTTATGCGCATTTTGGATATGCGCATAAAATTTTTTTTTTTAAAAAACAACGATTAATGGAAATGCCAAAGTGCGCACACACTTTTAAATGTGCATTATAAAAAAAAACATATGCACATAACTGAGGGTAAACTTCATATTCGATAAGATGCGCATAAACTGCGAAGGAAACACTTTTACCGGAAAAAAATGGTCATATGATTTTGTTGTCGTGATGATAAAAATGTGTGCAAATGGATAAACCAGCAGGCACACCGTAATACATCTGAAATTATGTTTTGGTCATTCTAAAATGCCTTAACCATTTTAGTATTGGTGTTATTATTTTAATAATGACCTCGAGAATCAAGTGTCAGGATTGCCTTCTGAGGGGCAAGTTATTAAATGAAAAAAAAAAAGGATTTACGCAGTTGATATTTGGCGCCAGTTAAACAAGAATTGACAATTATGTTAGCTTTGACGTGTTGGATGGAAATGTTGCTTTATTCGCACATCTTTCCAGTTTTGCACATAAATTTTATTTGCATTTTTGGATGGAAACGGTTACAGTCGTGAGGGGCAATACAGATCAAAGTATATAGAATTATACTACAGCAAAATTTTAGGGTAAATAAATATATGTGTAAATAAAAAAATGCAGTATAAATAATTTACATTCACAAGCATTACTTGGATAAATATGATCCAACTGCATTAACACCTTCAATAGAAGCACGTCAATAAGAAATATTATTTTTAGACGTTTTAATAACTCTGACAAAATCAAATTGTCCTCAAAATTAGGGCTGCCTGATATTGGAAAAATTACTCATTGTGATTTTCTACAATTTGAATACAACTTCGAGAGATGAGCTGAAACACTGTGTGGAATTTATAATTATAAAATTTAAGTTTTAGATTGATTGGGATGATTCTGTAGGAGAGTTCAGAAATTACAACAAAACAACCTACAAGCACGGGTAAATTCAATAAAGAAAATTATACAAATTAAATAAACAGCGTTATATTGTTTTCAAAAGGGAACTGTATTCAGGTTTACAGTAACTGAATAATCAAATAAAATAATGTATAGTTTTTATTTATTAAAACAATTCAATAAAATTATTATTAAGTAACAAATACTACATTTTTTAATGCCTGAATGCTTTAAAAACCCTCACAAAGACACGGGGCTTAAAAAAAAACCTTGCAAAATTCTCTTTTATAATCCAGACTCAATATCGTGTACACTCACGATGTGACTATTGCAAATGATCACATTGCGATATAGAGGCTGAAACAGTATACTGTGCAGCTCTACTCGAAATACAATTCTTTTACAGCAAGTATAGATGTACTATAGTACATATGTATTGTATAGACAACACATACAATGTGATATAGAACAGTACACAATACCATGTGGTCTGTCGAACTCCAAATGAAAAGTATACATTTGGATAATCTGTATTACAGTATTTAGGTTGGTACTTAACTAAATTACACATATACTGCATATATTATAGGGCCCAGAAAAACAAACCAAATGGTTTCATACCAAAATAAAAAAAAAATTAATTTACTAACACATTCAGTCATTTCTAAACCTTTATTTATATACATTTATATATAATATAGTAAAAAAAAAAATACTACACAAGTCAGTGGTTAACGTTACATCTTTCCAGCTTTTTTTCAAAATATCATCTTTGTGCTCAACAAAAGGACGAAAGTCAAACAGTTTTTGAACTAGTGAAGGTAAAGTAAATGAAAGAATCTGATGTAGTCCAAACTCCCTGATAATTCCAATAGCAGCTACTTAAAATTATTTGTGCGTACTATTATTGCTGGATGCATCAAATTACACTACAAAAACACGTTTGTTAGCAATACTGATTCACATATATGTTCCACATTCATATAAACTTTATTAGCAGGTAAATAAAATCATATTTGCATACCAACAGTGGGGTCACATCATTCTTAAAATATATCCAGCAACATCCAGGATAAATCTACTTTGGTTAACTTAAATGCTAATACTGGGATTCACATCCAAATCTTTAGTTTCACTAGCAGCTAAATAATTGCAGATCATTAATACACAGAAAACAAGTTTAACCTATTATTTAAGCACATTAAACTATTATCTTAGCAGTACCAATGGTGGAATACAGTATTTAGGACCATATTTTCATACTCTAGGCCCAGAACACCAGTCAAATTTTGCTCGAGTTGCAACTTAGAAAAACCCAACACAAACACACTTAATAACGATTCATTAGCATTACTAAAACTGTACACAATCAGGTGCATAGTTTGTCGTTAGCTGCCAATTAATGACCATATATGCAATACTGTCAGTCGACAGATTAACATCTGGATTCATCCATCAAGTCGTTGACGGGTCAGGATGGAGGAATGCTACGTCACACACCTCCATTCACAGCGTGCGCGTTTGATGCTCCAGCAATCAATGAAACTCAGGTGCACGCGCAGTTCCCAATCTAGCGTCTCCATTTCAGAAAGTCCAACACACGGTTTACTTACGCGACTACGACGTCCCGCAATGAACGCAATTTAAACGCTTTTAAACAATAGCGTCAAGCTCAAAACGCACGCATGATCGTTTAACGCGGATCACTCAAGACAGTAAACTAGTCAACTCACCTGTCAACAATATTTTGGCAAGATAAATTTGCGATGCAAAATCAGTCGCTTTCGTCGTCTTCTGCGGGTGTCCCTTTGACGCTATGAGAGGAACATAAGGATCAAGTCAAACGCCAACTGGTGCCCGCGCTAAAATCCCTGGCTCTTCACAATGTCGTCCTACACAGCGCTCGCCATTGGCTGCATACCAGCCGCTCCCTGCGCCCCTCTGCCAGCATCTTATTTCATCCCACAATGCATCTTTAACCGGAGACCATAGGGAAATGGGCTTGTTTGGTTAGACGCATGCAGGACTGTGTAGGCCAGAAAATAGCTTAAATTAGACTCGGAGGACCTTCATAATGAAAACACTTCACAATGAGAGAAGCACTTATTGCAAGGTTAGAGTCATTTATCTGTTGTGCCTCTCCCACACACTCGACGTGGAAAATGTACGAAATGTAATGATTTAGATTAGGGTCTCACTCATTGCTTTTGGCAATTAATAGAAATATATGGAGAAGGTGAATGTAGCCTTATTGAATTAACGTTAGTGGTCTAAACTGCCCACTTTTTAGTTTCAAGATTAATGTAATACAACTGTTGCAAAAATAACGCTTTATAGATGCAAGTTTAAGTAAATCTTGGTAGTGTACTTGATGCTCCATAAAATGTCCCAACACATTAAAATCACTAGAATATGGGAATAACTATAAATTTAGGACTCATAAACAACCTTTAGGATAAATAACAGCATGCTTACTTATTTGTAGTTTATTTTTTTATCAGTTTTTTAATAGTACAATTATTGAAATATTTGCTATTTTCTGTCCGATTCTTATCTTGTCCTCTAAAAAGTAGTATTTTACCTGAAGTAGTTGTGCCCAAAGTTTTTCCAATAAAGGGCCAAACACCAAACTGGATTGAGGGTTGTGGGCCAAATATATACCAAACTGTATTACAATAAATTTGCCAAGAGGAATTTCATAATAATGTTGCTTTAAATCATATTAACTAGTGCAGTGTCGTTTTTTAACATTTTATGCTTTACTTAACACAGTAAAAACGAAAATCCCATTTATTAAACAATGGAGTTCAATGCTGAATGCACTAGTCGACCTCCACCTTGATTTTCAGGCAGATGACTTGTGCATTGTCCTGTCAGGTGACAGTATTTACATTAAGTCTTTTTCATTTACAACATTTAATTGGATCATTTCATTTTAGGTGGCTTTTTGTAGCTCAGCAGTAAAACAAAAAACAAAAGCTTACATTAAAATCAAAATGACAATCTCTGTTAAAGGCATTTGTCGCAACCACCACCCCATCAATCTCCCCTTTTTTTCAGATGGGATGGCAACTTTGGCCCATGGGCCCTACATTGGGCATCTCTGATTTAAAGAAACCCTGCATAAAACTCTTGATTTCAATATTGAGAAAGCGGATACAGTTATATAACATTTGTGAAACCACAACTTATATTTTCCCTTTCATAACGCAGAACCTAAAGTAAATGAATCAAACACTGATTTTTGTACCAATGAAACCTTTATTTAGGCAAGAAAAGAAAAAAAAGTACTTAACTAGAAAGAAACAAAATGCTAGTGATGTTAAAACATCTACTGTCCACATTGGGACAGTGTAAATCTAAAAATGCCTGAGTATACCCCCCATCCCAAATGTATTTCTTTCATTTTACCATTCTGTTCCTGTTGATTCCATCCCCACAGACTGCTCCAACATCTGCTCCTCTGTTAAAAATGTGACGGGCCAAAACATCTACATTTTCCACTGAGGTAAAGAAAAAATAAAAAATAAAAATTATGGGCTGGAGAAGTACTTTTGAACTGTGGTCTTAAAAATCCTATGATCCTGGAGCAGTTGATCCTGTTCCATGTATCCAGCATTCCCTATCCTATCTTCATTATGTACTGATCCCAATGATCCGGCATCCACTGAGCCTCTCCTCCAATCCAAACCTTAAGATACCAGCAAAATCAAAACAAAGGAGGTAAAGAGTTAGAATCAAATCCACTCAAACCTGCCTTCTTTGATACATGCATACAGCATTAAGGCCAAAACTAAAATTAAGACTAATGACCTAACACTAAGACCGATTCAAATATGCTGTTGGACACTTAAGTCTTTGGACACAACCTCAGCTATGATTGAAAAGTACATCTCTAAAATGAAATAGTAAAAAGCTGCCACCTGGTAATCTAAATTTTGCAGTTACCCAATTAATGCCCTGAAGGCAGAGAACAGTATTTATTAGTAATGGAGGATTGTTCTAGTGCTCAAATTCACCCTTTTACGAAACAAAGTATAGATTTAGTAATCCTTTATTACAAAGCATCAGATCTGTGTCACGTCTAGAGGAAGACAGCATAAAACAACTGTGGAACCCACTATCCCATGATTAACTTTCATACATGGCATTTACAAAAATATTTGGGAGTCATTACATAATCCTTGATCTGATCTATGAAAGACTTCCACTATGTATTGAAAAAAAAAATGGATGGGGGGGAAAAACAAAATGGGTTCAGTTAAAAACGCATGTTTAAAACTAACAGTAAGAGGGAGGGGAAAAAAAAAAAAAAGACAACATTCATAAGATCAACTGTCTCACGAAACAGGGGGTGATTAAAACATGGGGTTCGTGATTTGTAAAGACTGTAAAACAAAAACGACTCAAGGGCTCCACCAATGAGGTGAAGAGTGGAGCGCTTTAGGAGCGAGAGCGGGAACGGCTATGACGTGGCGAGTACTGCGGGGATCCTCGGCTGCGGCGTGGAGAGTAGCTTCGGCTACGGTTGTTGCTGCGGCTGCGACTCCTGCTGCGACTGCGGCTCCTTGACCTTGATCTTCCATAGCTTGGACTGCGGGGTCCGTCCACCTTTACGCGGATGTACGCAGTTTCTCCCTGGCAGACAAAGAACTTTCCGCTGAGCAAGTGCATAGTACAAATAGGCCAACATTTTCACTGTACTTACCAGACTTCCTGGAACAAACATATCTTTGGTTTCGCTTTAATCATATTACTTAAAACTAAATTATTTGGTCAGTTTCTCTGGATTGACTAGGTATGGGTTTGAAAAATATTGAGAGCGCATTTCCTAATTTTTTTATAGGGAAAGTTATTCAAAAACTTTGTACAAAAACTATTGGTCAGAATAAGATTGTTTTAACTGAGAATTACTATTACCATAAAAATAAAAAGTTCAGTTAAAAAGATTGATCATGTAGTCTAAATCACATATTAAAACATTGTTTCAAAAACAGAACTAAACCACAAATCCAGAGAAACAGTATCTAATTTCTTTTCCATAGATGTATAATTCATTTATTAACCTACAGAGATTTATTATTCATACAATTGGTGAATATATATATATATATATATATATATATATATATATATATATATATATATATATATATATACACACATACACACACACACACATACACACATTCCACTTTATAGTCGGTGGCCATAGTTGCAATGTATTTAATTATAAATTAGTAATTTGGTACAATGCAGCCATGTAAAACATGACTTCTTATTGAACTTATATTGTAATTATATGTAATTACATATTTAGTTGACCCATCCCTTACACCCTACCCACATTATCAAATCTGGCCTAAACCTTACCCCACCTCAGGATCACCATCACTGTGAATTAAGAACATTACACTTGATTGTGATGCAAGTACATGGTAGTTAAGGCCACTTAATATAAAGTGGGACCCAATGTAGTTTCTCCTAACATTACATTAGGGATTTGCTTACCTTAAGAACATCCCAATGCTAAGCATATCCAAAAATACAGATTAAAATCTCAAACCTACCTCATGGGACCGGAATTTTGTGTTATCCAGTTTGCGAACGGCGTAGGTCATGTCCTCTTTGCGAACAAACTCCACCACACCAGTTCCATCTCGGAAAACGTCAGCGTAACATACATCACCTGCTTCACGCATGTGATCCTTCAGATCCTGCCAGCTGCCGCTTGGTGGAAGTCCTGGGATCAAACAAGTAAATAAAACTCAATTCCTCTTGAATTTAATATAAAACTTGTGATTAGGGCTGGGCTGATAAATGAAACACAGCCCTAATTGTTATTCTATCTTACCTGAAACAATTACTCTGTACTCTGAACGTCTGGATGGGGGTCCATATCTACCTCTAGGAGCCCCACCACCACCTCCTCCTCCGCCGCCACCGCCTCCACCACCCCCACCAAAACCTCCTCTGCCCATTCCTCGTCCACTCCTAGGAAATTCCACTCGAAGTCGATAGCCATCATAGTCATAGCCATCACGAGCATAAACAGCATCCTCTGCATCTCTAAAGGAAGCAATAAGGAGGAAAACTTGTAAAAACAAATGCAGAAATTCTTGCAATCAAATCATAATAGCGGAACAGGCGGTAGAATGCAGAATAAAGTACCAATGAACACCCACTTAAAATTGTGAAGTGGACTTAATGAAAGGCTGTTTGTTTTTACGGTTTATTTTCTACAAATTTACTCAAGCATGTGAATTTTCTAAAGTTTTTCTGAAGTTTTTTTTTTTTTAAATTTAGGCCAAAAAAAACAATTTGTACACAAAGAAACATGGCGTTTTAACTCCAACTTTTAAAATAATTTTCATTAAAAAAACAATAATTATATATTATATAATTATTTTATTATACAACTATATATATATATATATATATATATATATATATATATATATATATATATATATATATATATATATATATATGTGTGTGTGTGTGTATGTATATATTTATATATAGTACTTTTTTTGTAGTTATTTTCAGAAAAATTAAATCAGTGATTAAAAAAAACTCAGAGGTGTCCTAAAGAGTTAAGCTGCAAACGGTAACTAATCCGCCACTACTAATCTAACCAGCTAGTTAAATCCCTTAATATAATTAAAGCAAATCAACCGACATTAAACTAATGCAGAAGGCACGAATTTTTTTTCAGCAAAATTTCACTACAGCCCATTTGAATCAAGCTTGAGAGGTCATTTGTGTAGTTTTACAAAGCTAATTTCCATATCCAAACCCAGAAGGGGCATCGTACACTAATAAAGACGAAATCTTAAAGTTATAAATAAAATGAATTTTTCGATTTTAATTAAGCTTTAAAACCTACCCTCAGCACGACGGTAAACAATTAACATGTTTATACAAACAAATTGGTCACTGAAAACATGGTGAGTGCGGCTAAGCTAATATTAGCTTGCTAGCATAAAAACAAAAAGTAGTAGCAACACAAAAACACTACTGTGCATGCGAAGATTGTAAAAACGCGTTGGCAAACGTTACACGTTTATTAACGGTGACAAGTTTTATAAATAATTTGGGTAACGCTGAAACAAACGGACAAACTAAGTTAGCCGCTTAGCTAAAGGCTACGAGCTCAAGGTTCAGTTTCACCCACCTGGGGTCTTCAAACTCGACAAAGGCGAATGGAGGTCCGCCTCGTCGGTTTTTCAGATCGATGTCTCGGATGGCTCCGTACTTATAAAACACATCTTCGACATCTTTGGTGCGAATATCGGGCGGCAGGTTTCCCACATAGATGCGGCAATCGTTGCTTCCAGCAGGGCCGCGGATCACACCACCGGACATCTCTGCACTGACAAATCTTCACCTTCCTGCTGAACAGAGAAACAAACAACGCTTTTCGAGTCTGATAAACAACGGCTATTTGTGTGCCTCGCGAAATACGGTAAATAAACCGCAACCAACATTAGATTTAAAACAAAGAGACTTACTATTGTTTGAAGCACCGCTCGCACGCGCACACCGAGAGCGTGTTTCCTCTGAAGTCGCGCGGTCGCTTCCTCTTCAGCGGGCGCGCTTTACCAGCCGCGGAGGAATCTGAACAAACAGGCTCGGCGGGGAGTGGAGCGGCTACATCCGCGACACGAAATAATCATTATAGCGACGTCTGCAAAGATACAGCGGATCTATGTTGGCGTGTAGTGTGAATGAGTTCTGTAAAGATTTTATTTTTTACAACAGAGTGGTCCTCAGTTGAAGTCTATGCTACATTTAATTGGTTGCATGCAGGAATTAATTGGTTCCTGCAGGAATTAACCTACAGGTCTATTTAAATATACAGTTCCAGCAGGATTATTGTGCAAGATAGATATGAAGTTAGAGAAATTTAACAATGAAACAATGTATTTTCACAAATTATTTATTAAAATTGTAAAAAAAAATTAAATAAAATAAAAAAGTAGACCAAAGCAGAATCCAGTTTACAGCAGGCTGCGTTTACTCCAATTTCCTAAAAAAAAAGTTTTCTGTAAGTGGTAGAGTTGGTGTACGGCAGAATACAGTCTGTACAGCTATGAAGAATCCCCATTAACAACCAATGGACCCTTTTCACAAGACACGCACGCACGCATACACACACACACACACACACACACACACACACACACACACACACACACACACACACACACACACACACACACACAAGCACACACACACACACACACACACACACACACACAAGCACACACACACACACACACGCGCGCACACACACACACACACACACACACAAGCACACACACACACACACAAGCACACACACACACACTTGCATAGACCCTTTTCACATTTGCATGTTTCTTAACAGCAGAAATCAAAATCATCATAGTTGGTAAACTCAGAGCGCAGTAAATGGGAGAGTACAACAATTTTTTAGAGAATAATGTCAGATTTATTGTCCTGTCCCCATATTGTCCTGTCCCATTTGTTTTTTTTGTAACTTGACGTTAAGATTGAATTATACATAAATATATATAAATGTACATAAGTTTTAAAAAATCGAAAGATTAAAAACTGTAAGGTATTTAGGATGCTGATGCAACACTGATTACCTTTAAACACATCGTAACAGTCTTTTGAAAAGGGTCTATTGGTTGTTAATGGGGATTCTTCATAGCTGTAATGGTTTTTATACTGTACAGACTGTATTCTGCCCTACAACAGCTCTACCACTTACGGAATTTTATTTATTTATTTATTTTTTTACTTTTTTTTAGGAAAATGGAGCCTGCTGTAAATTGGATTCTGCTTTGGTCTATATATATATATATATATATATATATATATATATATATATATATATATATATATATATATATATATATATATATAAATTATTTGTAAAAATGCATTGTTTCATTGTAAAATTTCTCTAACTTGATATCTATCCTGCACAATAATCCTGCTTAAACTGTATATTTTTATAGACCTGTAGGATTGTAATTCCTGCAGGAATAATCACTGCATAAATTTCCTTCATAAAATTCCTGCAGGTATACAGGAAAATGAGCTGAAAATCCTGTAGGAAATCTGCATAATATTCCTGCAGGATTCCTGCTGGGTCTTTTTGTAAGAGCACCTGCTTGTGTGGTAAACTGTAGATTACGTCACAGAGGAACAATATTTACCAGCTATAATAATAATTTCTGTAATTGGGAATCTAAGAATATGTATATTATGAAAATGTTGGCGAAATAATAATGTAGTTCTAATGTACAATCATTATTTATTTGTGTTATTTGGTTAGCTCTGTCGCCTCACAGCAAGAAGGTGGCTGGTTCAAGTCTCGGCTGGGTCAGTTGACATTTCTGTGTGGAGTTTGCATGTTCTCCCTCTGTTCGCGACGTGCAGGTTTCCTCCGGCTGCTCTGGTTTCCCCCACAAGTCCAAAGACATGCGCCATAAGTTAATTGGGTAAGCTACATTGCCTGTAGTGTATGTGTGTGAAAGAGTGTTTCTCAGTGATGGGTTGAAGCTGGAAGGGCATCCGCTGCGTAAAACATATGCTGGATAATTTGGCGGTTCATTCTACCGTGGTGAATCCTTATTAATAAAGTGACTAAGCTGAAAAGAAAATGAATGGATGAATAAATGAATTCCCATTGAGTCCCATTGAGACATAACAGTCACTTCTTCCAGGGAAACCTGGCCTGGACAGTTTGATTTATTTGGTAACATTCTCATAATAAAAAGGTTCCCTTTTATTATGAGCGTTGGGGTGGCATCCGTCTGGCCACTCTACCATACAGGCCTGATTGGTGGATTGCTGCACAGATAGTTGTCCTTCTGTTCTCCGCTTTCAGTCAGAGTGACCATCAGGTTATTATTGATCACCTCACTGACTAAGGCTCTTCTCCCCGGAGTCCTGGTGGTTTCACTTACGGATGATGAAGGCCACTGTGCTCATTGTAACTTTCAGAGCAGCAGAAATTTTTCTGTAACCTTTCCCAGCATAGTGCCTCAACAATTCATTTGTCTTCATGCTTGGTTTGTGCTTTGACATGCACTATCAACCCTGGGACCTTATATACTGTAGACAGGTGTATGCCTTTTTAATTCATGTCCAATCAACTGAATTTACCACAGGTGAACTCTAATTAGGCTGCTGAAATATCTCAAGAATGATCAGTGGAAACAAAATGTACCTGAGCTCAATTTAGAGCTTCACGGCAAAGGCTGTGAATACTGATGTACATGTGATTTTTTTAGGTTTTTTTTAATATATTTGCAACAATTTCAAAAAATCTTTGTCATTATGGGGTATTGTGTGTAGAATTTTGAGGAAAAAAAAGAATTTAGTCTATTTTAGAATAACGCTATAATAAATAAAAATTGGGAAAAAGGGAAGCGCTATGTATAGTTTTCGGATGCACTGTATTCTGGTTTCCACAAAACTTTTCAATTGTTTTCATCAATGATAATAATCATAAGTCTTCTGATCATCAGCTTTTTCTCATCAGTATATAACAATGATCGGATGGAGTCCTGCTAAAGTCTGGAGTAATGATGGACTTTAAATGACATTTTAAAATATTTGGACATAGGGAACAGTTTAAACAAAACATTGATCTGTCCAAAATTTCAATGCTGTTTTCAAAAATAGTAAAAACTAAGGACGCATATTTAAGTATAATGTGTATTCATTGTATATTTTATATCTCAGACACATCTCACAGTTTTATTGCAGCACTTTCAGTTTGTATTCAGACTGTCAATAGTTTCACTGTTGTCCATAATGAAGCCTAACATACAGAAATACCATACCAGATACTGTGATAAACTTGTAATCCAAGCTGTTATTCGTCACCGAAGCACAGGCTTTATTAAAGCTTTAGATGATGAAGTTTGATTGCAGAAGCGTATAGCACAAATCCTTAAGACTCAAGAAACCCCTTACCCCACATGTTGGACATTTTTCAGAACATGTAATAAAAAAATGTATGTCTAAATCTGAAATTATCTTGACTAACTATATATGTAACATGCATATATCATCTATAATTTTCAAGCATGAATGTGGGGTGACAGTTAAAGGGTCAAGTACAGTAAGTAGTAAGGATCGATATTACACAGCAAACTGTACATTTATTAATAATCTTGTCAGTATAATTAGCAACAGACATTTATGCTTGTTTTTAAGACAAGCAAAGGACGCCACCACCTAGAGAACACCATCATGTGCTGTATCATATCAACATTTACATGCTTTATGAGTTTTATATGCAAGTGGCAGTGACATCTGCTATGTTTCAGCTAATGTTGGAGTATGGAAATCAGGGGCAAATTCAATATGCGTAGCTGGAAAGATAATGGGAAAGACCAGTAGCTCCACTGCTGTCACCACAAACCGTGTACTTCCCTTGAGATGCCAGACTGTTGATCTGAGGAGAAAAAGAAACACACTGAGAAGCTATTCGAAAGATAATAACACATCTATCTATCTCATAGTGGATGTTCTGAAGTGTACTCAATCAATCCCACAATGCAATTCAATAATTATTGTTAAAGTATAAATGAAATCAAAACTAACCATATGATTTTGTTAGCTCACACACTGCTAGTTTTGTGATGAACAATTCATCTGTGCATGTCATTAAGAAATAAAAAGTTTGCCCTTGTAATCTAAAATTAAAATATGGAAATGCACTTCCTGTTTATTTTTTCAGTTAAATTCTCAGATTATTGCTGCGTCCCAATCTGCATACTATCCGTCCTAAATAGTATTTGAAAATAGAACTAGAACCTAAAGTTCGTAGACGAACTTTGATGTTGGCTTGAGAAAGCCAACGTGACTGCGCCGGGGACTCAAAGGCAGTTGGCAGGAAGCACAGCGGTTGATAAGTGGTTGCTAGGCGGTTGCTAAGGTGTAGCTAAGGCATTCCTAGGTAGTTGCTAGGGTGTTCTGAGTGGTTTCTAGGCTGTTGCTAGGGTCCACTGGACTGTTAATCGGAAGGCCTCATTTACATTTTTGATCAAATCGAGAGAGAGAGAGAGAGAGAGAGAGAGAGGACTGATTTGTTCAGGTTGTTTAATGCAGATCACTATAGTATAGTTAGTATTTATAGTATATATTATAATCTGAACAAAATTACATTATAATAAATATCATATAAAGAAAAATATTAAATTAAAATACTAATGAAACAATAGCACATGCATTTAGTTAATTTGTCTTTTATTTAATCAGTCTTATAATTTTTGCAGTTAATATAGAGTACAGTCAATTTACAGTAATTTGCAGCATTATATATATAGTTATAGTTATATAGTTATATACAGTTTACAGGAAGAAAATCGCATTAAATACAATATTATAGGACGTCTTCATCATGTGGTTAATTCTGACCAATGACGTTGTTCCACCCCACTGGCCACTAACACAATGTTATAATCGTAATATTTAATTGTCATCACCTGGGTGATTTTATTTATTTTTTTTTGGTACAGCATAGGCCAAAAGCTTGGCTTTCATTGTCATTATCACAAGTGAGGAGAAGGCTCTTTGCGGCACAGAATATTGTTTTGAAAGAAATATCTGAAGTAAACTTATGTTTTTGCTAACATAAAAGGGGGATTAAGAAATAATCCTTA